CCTCCATTAAGAGATAAGAAAAACTACAGTCTTAAAATAGGCTACAGAAATGAATGCTGAAAAAGGTTATTAAATTGGAGGGTACCTTGAATATTGAAGGGTGAAAAACTGAAACAACAGCCTGAGTAATTAGAGGTTGTCAGATTTCATAGTATTCCTACCATAAAATGACTAATGTCCCATGTGAGATGAAGACTTCACTCCTCACTATGGAGCCATCCTGAAGTGACAGTTTGTAGAAAGAAAATTAGTTTCTTTTGGCCTAGTAACAAACTAAGATGTTTTTGACATGGCACTAAGAGGAGCTGAATACTGCTTAGGAAGAACAGAAGTACTCTCATATCTACACCGAACAACACTAGAAATCCTGCTAGAGGTTGAACCAGGGAGGACAAAAAAACCCTGTATGTTATTTCTAGTTTAAATTATTGCCTATTAAATAGAAGTTGTTACTTGAAATGTCTCAGTGGATTTGAGTTAAGCTGGGGGGAACATGTGTTGCTGTGAGAGTACAGCTATAACATGACATACCCTGTTGTGTCACAAGCATCTTATTTCATTGACTAAGTTGAAGGGCAAGTAAACAAACAGACAGAACACATGAAAGTTACAAATAATAGAGATTAGGAAGGTTGCCAACACTACTTGGGACAGAGGAATGGAAGGATACAGACATTAAAATAGTCTGCAGAAATAAAATGGAATTTCAAGAAAAACTCACACTAAATTCTAAGGAGAAACTTGGGAAACAGCAATAGTGAAAGATACCGTAGGGAACTTGTAAAAGCCAGGTGAAGGAAAATTTGTAATTTGTAATGATTATAAAAATGCCGATGCAATTTTGAACTGAATATACAAAGACTTTATATCACAGCAGAATAGAGACTTTCTATTCTCTCCAGACATGGCTTTTGTGTGGCTAGGTTTGGAGTATTTTGTTCATTCGGAGCACGCTTTTTCAGAAAAATGCTGACAAATAGGAGGGAGTTCCAGAAAGCAATGATTTCTTTTCATGGACTAGAGAACTTTGATGAAAGAATAAATAAATATGCATATATTGTCAGATTAAATGAAAACAAGTATGTGTCTAAATAAATTTTAAAACAGTCTAATAAATATTGAAGGATATAATCAGCAAGAAGCAAAAGGCGCACTCATAATTTTTCCAGAGCATTGGAAAAGGAAGGAAACATCTGTCTGGTTTTACATGATGGAAAATAGCTCTTCTATGCTTCTTCTAAAGTCTTATCTTAAAATTTCAGGTCTGACAATCATCTGCAGTGTGGCACAGCTCAAGGATGTCTAGCATCAGTTGAGGCACAGTAAGTCGACTTCTATTGTTATTATCTAAGTATATAAATTTAGTCTCATAGCAGGGCAAGCAAGACTTGCAAGCCACACTAGACAAAGGATAGGAAAACAGCTAGAACACTCTGCTAGCGGGCAGACAAGTGAATTTTTTGGACATACAATTTTGCTAAAGAATAAATGTAAAAGTAGAGAGGACAGAAGACAGAAAACTGCACAGAGCACCTGTATGCACGAGATTTTTCCTTTCTCCTTTGTATTGACCAACAGCAATAGAGAAAATACTTTTCTGTCTCAGAAGGATACCTAGTGACTGATAAAAATGCTACCACATTATTTAAATTTTTAACAAAAATTGATGTGTATTATCATTAACATTCTGTAAGAACTGTAACTGTCTACCACTCAAGTACTGTAGTTCCAAGGAAAAAATGCTTGCACCCGGAAATATAAAACAAAAGTTCCCTAAATAACTTAACTTGGGCCATATGTAAAGGTCTGATCTCTGTCCAGCAACAAACACTTTTAAAATCAACACGCAGACAGCATAAGCATTTCCAGTATGGATTTAAAGACCACTCCCATGAATTATAGGCAAAATAAGATTGTAAAAAAAATGTGGTTGTATCTGCAAAATTACACCTACACTTTGGTTTTAGTCCTAATGCAAACTACCACCAACTGCCATAATAGATGAAGAATTACAGCATCCACTAATAACATCTGCAACACAGTTTCCTTCAAATTCAGCCATCCATTGGGTGAATTTTGTTTTTTAAACATCCACATGCATTTCACCACTAGTAGTCGCATAGACAAGAAAGTGAAGGATAATCACACTGCTTAATCCAATTGTCCTTCACCCCTCAAAATGTTCATCATAGTAACTAATTCAAAAGCTTCTCCCCACTCACTGACTGGACCGAAGCTATAAATTTAGGGACCAGAGATAGGTAAGCAAAAGCAGATATTGCAAATACACCTAAAATAATCTATTCCATTGTAAGAAAAAGAGTCATTACACATCACTGAAACAACGGCAATAACCTGCTATGATTCTGATATAGTCTTCAAAAGGCAAAGTGAGTGGGGAAACTGAGTAATTATTTTTGAAACAATCATAAATTTCTAAAGTTTGAAGAAGTTATTTTTAAGAGATACATTATGCTAGGCACAATTTCAATTTAATCAATAATTACAAAATTCAATTACTATTAGTTCTTTGGGTTGTAAATATTCTCAGGAACTAACTCTTATCTTGTACAGTACAATAGCAATTATGTATCTATGCTCAGAGAAGAAAGCAGAAAATCATGTTTTCTAATTGAAAGTACAGGAGGATTAAGGAGAAGCAGGACTGAATCATTCCAGCTGAAATATGATCCAAGAGACTACTCTCCCTACTCTCAGGAAAAATACTAAAATGTCTTCCAGTATCAGATTCAATTATTACCAGTTTTAAAATCATGTCTTAAAGATGACATCTCAATAGCACAATGTCATGATCACATCCTTTCACTATCAGTTCAGTAATGAGAGGAGAGCATGCTGGATGAACACCATACATGGAAGAGACTAAAACCGCTTCCTACATCAATGCAAGTTTTCCTGAAGGCTTGCTATTGCACATTTCATGTTGACATAATGAATTTTCCATTGCAAACTGGCTCTCCCATTGACCCAAAAGACTCAAAATATGGGGCCAAAGCTTATGCTCCTTCATATGTTTTTGTTACAACACATATTGGCAAACTAATTTTCTTCCCTTAAAAACATTTGTTTGAATGAACTATCTAATAAACCCTACCATAAGAACAAATCTTACCATTCCCACTTTGTAATAAAAACCAGGATTCAATCTCTACGTTGTGATTTAAGTTTAGTCCTGCAAGTTAATCCAACTTAAATGAGTGAAAGTGAGTAAATACTATCCTATATAACTTCTTTTTAAGTATGGGAATAATTCGGTGTCAGAACACTTAATTCTGTTATAACCAACCGAAGTCCTTCATGCCTATTACATTTAAAAACAATGCATTTTTCTTCAGTACAAGTTATTAATGATTTTTATATCAATGTATTTTTATTATATAGTCTAAAGACACTTCAACAACTCAGATAATTTTTAAAATGGCTCACTGTAACATCAAAACTAATCAAACAAATCATCACCACCTGTCTTAATTCATTTGAATAACAGCAATGAAGCAATGTAAGGAAAACATGAGACGCTTATGTGCGGAGTTCTCATTTGTTTATTTCTTACCCTAAATGCTGCTTGAGAATCTGTGGTTAATTTTTGGCACTGGCTGCAATGCTTCCTCTGGCACTACTGCCTAGGCTCGACCCTCCATCTCCATAAAAGTAATAAATCAGGAAAACTGAAGCAGAAATTCAGCCCTTCTTTTACATAGTGCTGGGAATACAACCTTCAAAACCATTAAGGTAGTTATAAGTAGTAGACCAATTCAACCAACACACTTTTCACTTTTGTGTTGCTTTAGCACAGTGAATCACCTGCAAATTCAGTTTCACTAGCTAACACTGTGGTCATTTTACACTGTCCATTTTCTGATACGCAGACCCTTAGGTTTTAGTTACTCAGAGTTTCCAGTATATAATCTAAAAACATCAGCAGTAAAGTACAGGAGTATTTTCTTTACATGTTTGTTTAGTTACACAAATGCTACACAGTAAAATAAAAAATATTTTTAGATTCCTAATGGAAAAAAGTTAAACTGCAGTCATGGTTGACAGAACACATTTGTAAGTAAAAAGCATTGTAGGCATGTTATAATAAATCAACTCTAAGTTGAAAGTCTAAGCAACTGAAAACTTACATGAGTACTTAAGAGAAATCTAAATATGTTAAATTATGGAACAAACACCTCAGGCACTCAATCTTAATTCTGCCCTTTAGTGAACATAAGCAAACCAAAAAAAGTATGTGATTTTAAAAGTTCATATTAATCTAATTTGGAATCATAAATACCAAACTACTTCAATGGCAGTCACACAGTCATTTCACATGACAACTCATGGCCATGAGGTTATTAGGTTGAGTTTCCCTTTTTTTTTTTCTTACCTTAGCTTCTTATAAGTGGAATGTAACCAGATTTCCTGTGCAACATTTACTGGTGTAGGTTACTTCCATCTCTCTGCCTGTTTAGCCTTTTTTTTACAATGTGGTGTCAAGCAAAGCGATAGTGGCTTTGCACAGAACTTTTTCCCCCTGCTATCTGCCTCTCACACTCTAACCTATAATGCAATAGTTGTCAATGCAGTAGCCTACACGGCAGAATTTAAGGATCTCTCTTATCCCACTTTTCCTTGCGCAGGACACAACAAAAGCCACACAAGTTTTTGCTTAGCAGTGTTGTACTGCAGTACTAAGGAAAATTATGCCCAAAAGCTGTTAGAGTTCTGTTTTGTAAGGGGACTGGAAATCCATTACACTATGTCACATGTTAGTTTGAAAATCGTTTTGGGTCAGAACCCAAGGTCAGAGTAATTCTCTTGTGTTATATTCCCCATTGCTTTTTCTGCTTCCAAGCTGTGTATCACTTCACCTGTCCAGAGATACTGCAAAGTAAAGTTACAGAGGAAATTTCCAAAAAATATCACCCCCCTCCCCCAGACCCATACATTTCTACACCAAAGGGCAGATTTTTCTTATTCCAAGACTATCTCACCTCTGGAGTGACATCTCGTGGTGCAAACCCTGTTCCTCCAGTTGTTAAAATCAAATTAAGCTCCTTTTCATCACACCAATCTATCAGCGTCTCCTGAAAGAGAACATGAATCCTGTCAGATCTAACAAGTAATACGTGGGATACAGTTATCTCTTAAGACTTGGAATGTCTTAAAAACAAAGACACACACAGTAAGTACAGGGAATTGTAAATTTGCTCATGGCTTTTTATACAAAGATTTTAAACCACTATTTATAACCAACTTATGACAGAATAATTCAAGTATCCATCATAGTATTTTTGGAAACGGAAACTGAAATTCTGTTCTCCATCTCTTGACCTGAAATGGAAAACAAGAATTCACAGTTACTCATTTATATCACTATTTATTTTGATTTTGAGATACAAATACAATGCTTTGACACGTCAATAGAGTATGTGCATTTAATTCAGATGACATGGTTGATTCTTCTAACAGTAACTTTGGTTTCTGTGCTACACTTTTTAATAGCCTGAAAAAAGCAAAACCCACGTATTTGTAAGCTTATCTACTAAAAGATGCAATAATACACCTGATGCAGCAACACAAAAGATTATCTATAATAATCTTTTTTACATTCTCTACAACATCTCAATAGGACGGTGTATACCAATTCCAAGGCTGGACTAAGAAAGCTTAATAAATCTGTCATGTAAATTCAATGACTTACAATACCAGAGAACTTATGATAGTAGAAAAGTGTTTAATTTGATTTGCATTAATTTATAAAATTACATTTTAAAGTAGTTTTCAAACTGTGATAAAAATTTGACATAAGCAGAAAATGTATTTAGTCTCAATATAATTATGTCACTTACCCTTCATACTCTACTATGGGCTAACACAGCAGCAGAATGTCTACTTGTAGCTCAAAATTAGCTGTGTTACATGAAGTACAGTCATGTGTTACACAGCAAAGGAACCATCTGCAGAAACCAGTCAGATAAATTACTTAGCTAGCCTTATTCTAGCAAAGAAACCTCATTCTTTGAAAAAGTTTCAGGCACATTTATGTTTCTGGAGTATTATACTGGGGAGGAACAAACTGTTTTGGTCACTGTTGGCTCATATACAGCCTCTTCCAAATTGCACGTAGAATAAACTTGCGCCTGCTTGCAAGCCCCATCATGCAAACATATCCAAGAATTACTTGAAGAAGTGACAAAGCCAAAGGTTCTGTCTTTATTTCTCCTTCCTTTACTCATTCATTCCACTTCCCCTTTTGCATTATCTCTTGTCTTATGACCAAAATCACGTTCCTCTTTTTACTCTATTCCTTTGGAGGACAGCACTCTACTTAGATAGGCTGTAAATTATAGGAGCATTTCAAATATGCTTGAGAAAAGAACACACGTAATGTCTCAGACCAGTACATAAAGGAACTATTAAGTCTGACTTTTGACTTTTTGAAAAAGTCAAAAAGTTGAAAACTTTACGTTTTGAAAAAATGTGAACTACGGTAGTAAAAAGCATTTTAAGACTTAAAATTGTTTGCTTCAATAACATACATATGGATCAGAAAAATTATTTGAGACAGGTGGCATCTTCTCTATTTTATCACCTAGAAATATATTTGTCTTGACTTTGAACAGCTACAAATTTCAGAGAAGTTCAGTGTAAAAATGGTTCTTGGCAAAGTTAGAGCTTAATATTGTATACATTTTAAAAATCATTATCATAAAGCAAAATTTGTCAGTACAAAACAGGAGGGAGAGATTTTGTGTTTTGTTTGGTTTTGTGGTTTTTTGGTTGTGGGGTTTTTTTGTTTGTTTTGTGGTTTTTTTTAATGAAGCATTTATCTTTAAATAAAATAAAACCTGCCAAACTCCAACTGACTTTATAGAGAAAACAAATCCTTTCTCTGTTCTCATTTTGCTACAGTTCAATAATACTCCAGTTAACAGGGAAAAAAAAAGTCATGTGACAGTCTACAAAAAGGTAAAGAAATCAGCATACACCCTAATAACTCATCAAATAAACTGAGCAATAATTAAAGGTCTATTACTGCTATTCCATTAGTGTACTTAGGCAGACATACTATTCTCTATCAAGTTCTAATTGCAATAAAGAAACAAAAGCTTTCAGTAAGACCTTTGACTATGAGGCAGTAAGTTTGGGCTTCATCGTGTTTTAGAAGTGTAAATTGTACCACTTAGATCTTCTAAAACCATGGAAAAATACCTGAAACTGATATTCAGCTTATTTACTTTCTCTCTATCCCACAAAACATTCTCATTGACATTTTAAGTATCTAAAAATGATGCACCACCCCAATCAACTGAAGACAAAAGGCTACTCATATTCACTTTGCTACTGCCAGAGTCCAGCTAGATTCTCCGCTGGCTTTGCAGGGAACTGAATTTGCTGTGTCTTCAGATGAGAATTCCTCTAGGCCAGGGACCTGATATTTGGTTTTACTGATACAATACAAGCAAAACGATTATATAACATTTCTACTGGAGAAAACTTCATTAAATATTTTTTGTGCCTCTTTCTCCTTTTCTATCGTTCCACTGATGATAAGCTTTCAACATAAAATGAGACCAGATCAACAGGTTACGTGTATCAGTGCCACTCCATTCAAGTCAATGGAATTATGCTGATGGATACAAAATACAGTATCTGCCTCTGAAAACAGTACTGTAAAATTACTACAAATTGAAAAAGCCAGAACAAAACTACAGACCTCCAAAAAAACCCCCCAACCAATAAATAGCTTAATATTTTCAACAATTAATATCCTAAAATAGGCTTTATCAGTTATTTTCTACTGTCAACATAGACAAGGAGAAATGAAGTCATTACAGTCAATTCCTCTAGACACACTTTTACTTCAAAAGCACACAATTGTGATTCTAACCTGTAGATTTCACTGAAGTCCTACAATAACTGTATTAATTATGTTCTTCTGCTGCACAGAAATAACGCGTCAGCCAGTTCTCTCAAGCTTTGGATTAGATCTGGTGCCCTGTCCTCTCTACCTATTTCTTTGTATTTTCCCTTTAAAATAAATTTAACATTCTCATTTATTTAAAAGAGAAATCCTTGGGTCTAACATACAACTTATTTCCACCTCTTACTCCAAAGAGCTCTTGTTTCAATCAGCCCCATCTCTCTCCCAACTTAGAACTATTTGTTGGACTTCCTATGCACTGCCCAATCTTGAAATCATTTAAGTTGTAACGCTGCTCATCAAAAACTTCGCTTATGATCTGTTTGAATTTTCTCATGACCAGTGTTGATTTTACCAGTGTAAAAAAATCTTGCCTCATTCTTTCTTAGAGTTCTTAGTCTTTCACATGTAAATTCATTGATTTTAAGGCCAATAAAGATCATTAACTCATGGAAAGAATGCCTACAGTGTGTGGCACAGCGCAGTGAGCCTATGTTTACTGCTGATGCATCCTCGCAAATTCATACAGGCACCGTCACATTAAGACACACTAAGTCCAAAAGCTGTACAGATATATTTTTGTGGCATCACATCTAAGCTAGTGCTACCTGGCATTTCAGTCAGAGAATAGCAGTATCACTCATAAACAGATTTCCTTCTGTGGAGGTAACTTAAGTATCTCAATGTCCAAGATGCAAAACTGCCATTAGTCTAAGTTGCAATGGGCAAGTCACAGAATTCTGGTCAGTTCCTCCTGTACTTAAAACAAATTCTAGGACTCAAGCATCTCTTCACTAAACCATCCAGCCTTGATCTGAAGGATTCAAGAGAAAGAAAATACATCATAATTTAATTCAGTAGGGTTTTCCAGCAGCTATTAATGTTTATCATTAAGTATTTGTTGTGTTTCTAGTAACTGTTTCTTACTAATCATTTCAGTGGGATAACATACCCCCATGATACATAAGAAACCTGCTCACAGAATGCACAATGGTAATGGTTAGCAAAGTGTGGTATTTTGAAACTCCATTAATGTATCATCCTCTAATCTCTGCAAGTAAGTGAACAGGAGAACAAATAGGGATTCCTTCTGGAATGAAAGGCACAGTTCCCTGATTTCTAGAGATAACTGAGGTTTGTGGGCTACTTATCTTAATAAATTTTGCAGTCTCTTGCAATAAAGCCTTATTAGAATCATGAGTACTCTACGTTCTGTCCTTGATTGCTGCTTCACTTAAACAACAGAGTAGGGCAGTTCTACATGTGTAATTATTTCCTTTTCAGAGTGACAGAGGTATCTGTTCATTGACACAATATTATAAAGCATGCTGTTAGCCAGGTATTTAAACTTGAGAAAGGTTGCAAGACTCTTCCAGTCCTCTTACTGCTACTGTACGCTGCTCTTCCACTTAGATATTGAGACTATGAGAAATGGCCTTAACTGGAGCAGCAAAGCACACAGAAATGGTCACCGTGGATCAGACTAAATGCCTACACAGAAGAGCTGAGGTCTTGAGGACTGCTCCTTTCCTACAGTCCTATGGTATTTCGTATCTTTCCTTTTGTCCTATTTTTGCCACCACTTTGGTATGAGAGTGTGATAACAGTCCCATGTATTTATGCTTCCAAAACAACTAGAATACATTCCTTCAAATCAATATTATGGTGCTTATTCCTGGGATTAACATGTATACCTTTTTACTTATCAATATGTCATTTACTTCATAATGCAAGGATTGTAAAAATAATTCTCAATAAATATGCATATTTTTCATACACCTTAACTATTGTACTATGACATGTACACTGTTACCATTTAAAACTTTCATTAGGAAAGAACAGGGAAATGCTAAAAAGAATATAAACAGGCAGGTTTTCATAAAGAATCTATACAGGATTCTTCCTTTCTACATTCGATATCGGAAGTGGCTAAGTACTTCTATAGTTAACAAAGATGTTCAGTATTTTGGCACACACCAAGTTTTTCTAGCACAGTGCAAATTTGAAGTTATTTCATCTTATATGCACCACTAATCACATATGAAGGACAATTTAAAATATGTTAATATTTAAATGAAATTGCTGGACAAATATCAATGTTAAGTATGAAATTTAATTATGAAACAATATACATTTATTTACATTGGACTTCAAATAGAAGTAAGTTAGTATAAGCTGTTTTACAGAT